ATCGGGGACGCCTATGTTTTTATGTTTACGGCTAGATGGTGTGATCTGAAAACAAGGGTCCAGCTTAAGTTGCAGCCATTTCTAATCAGACATGTTTGAAACAGGCCAAAATTAGTAAATGGTGATATCTGCCCTCCAAAATGTCCTTAGAACGTCACATGATGGCAACATCAGGAAAAAAAGAGCTACATAACTACGGAATTTTGTAACGTGATTTCTTATACAATACAAAAGTAAATAGGGCTAAATAGGCCTGATTAGGGCTAAACGAATAATAGATATAAACTCCTTAAACACGGCGGTCTGTCACTACGGTATTCTTTCCCATTGCTAGGGGGGTTCGAAAACGTATCAGGTTACAAGACGCAAGTTTGGCCTGTTTTGAACTACCCGTAAACCACTTGAAAATAAACTAATAGTATTGAAGGGTAAATTCCGTCAAAATAAAATGAAATTATCGTGTTTACATAGGTTTAATGCTAGTTGTTTAAGTTAGATTACAAATTTGGAAAAATCTCGCTCCAAAAGACGATTTTTTGCGGGATATGTAGCGCCAGTCCGAGACAGTCCGAGTCATGTTTTTAGGCAAACATCGTTTAAGATTGGCTACGTATGTTACCCAAGATCCCCGATTTTTATATTTTTCGACAACTAGGAATAAGATCAAAAATCGTGTCTTAGGAATTTTTTAATTTCTGATTTTAAGTATAGTTTTTGTCGACATAAATGTGAAAAAACGGCATTTTTTGACATTTTTCGCACTCAATTGCTCATAATTCAAAATCAAGGTCCTTTTTCGAAAATCCCTAAGACACGATTCTGGACAAACCCGTTACGGTTATTTTGAGCCGTCAATGAGATATGTTGGACTCTCCATGCTTCCAATCTTAAACGAGTTTTGGACGCATGTCATAGGGCATGAATATGAAGAGTGTTTATTTAGGCTGATGAGTACAAGCATTGCGATCTTCAAGGTCACCCACAATAACGGCAGTAGCTTCGTTTCATGTTCCAGCCCACTACAAAATGAAGGCAGACATTTAGTTGTCAAGGAAATGGTTTATATTTGTTAAAAGGTGGGTTTTTTTCTGTTAGGAGGTTCCCATGTAAAAAGGGGCCTGAAGACCAAGGTTTACTGTAAATGACCGAGGGTGACCCCATTTCGAACACCGTTCTATTCGAATTACGTCAGATCGAACATGGTTCGGGTTCTACTGCAGGTGGGGAGATCGAGGCCCAATTTTGACCACCGTGTACTTTAAAACTAGAAAAAACGGATAGGGTTTAAATGTTAAATGGTCAGGCTTTCCAAAGATATTAACTATACACGATAGAGTATATCCTCTATATCGCGGAAGGCTTATTTTTAGTTTCTCGTACTAGGGAGGTTTTGCACTGTGTTCTGAGATGTTATAGCGGCCATGTTGCCATATGTAACCCTCAGGAAAAACGAGCATTACTAGAGAACTTATAAAAGGTGGATTTGAAAATATCTTGGAGAAGCGAGCTTCGAGGATGGTTGTGACTTAACAAATGTACGGACTTTTCAGATTTTCCTGATTGCCTACATTAAGGCAGTCATCGTCGGACCTATTGTGGGAACAGTGACCGTCTGTGTCCGAGGGGGTTTCGGGAAGAATTTATCGGGCAAAGAAGAACGCCCTCCACTCGGTGATATTCAGAGGAAAATCCGGGGTTATGATGGTGAGTCTCCACAGGTTTTACATGTGAGACCACGGTAGACTGTCACGGCCGCTTTGGCCATTCGCTTTTGCAGACTTGCCTTGTTTCACAACTAATGTAGATTTAATGTTTTCTTGTAATCTGTAGAAACTTGACAAGGGAAGAGCAGCGATGACAATAATACTAATTAGCGACAATACAGTTATTGAAAGCTTTTTTCCCCTAAGGTTGCGTTTAATGCGTCGTGGCTGATATGTACTGGCGTAAAGAAGCTTTATGTCTACAAAATATCTATAAGCGTGGTAACATTCACTCTGAAATTGACACGTCTTTGTATACAGCATTTCATAACGCTAACGTCATTGGTGTTCTTCATTCCTGGTTAAGTCCCTGCACGGAGGGTTTTGCCGCCAGCCCCGAAGAAAACCGACCATGACCCGAACTGGAACGAGAGGATGACTCAGGGTAGAAACATCCTGGTCCTCCTGGTGTTGATGCTGATCTTCACTGGCAATGCTTTCTACATCGGCGTCCTGGGCTTCGACAAACACACCTACTACGTCAGGACGTCGCTGGAGAACAGCCTGCTGTCTGGATATGACGAGGTTTTTAACGAGTTTTCTAATCATAAGGACAACAATGCCACTTCTTGGCACTGAACTAACTTTCTGGGAGGCAAAGGTGGTTATTAAAGAAGATTGCGGTGAACATTAACATTGGTTTTTAAGGCTTGTGGGTTGTATTCCCGGTAGAAGAAATACTTTTCAGGGACATAGTTACATAATTTGGAACGAAAAGGTTGCTGAGGGACTTACAAACTGGCATTTGGATAGTGCAATAATGTGATGTGGAAGGAAACCTGGTGGTACACTAGAAAGCTTTGAATGGTGCAAAAAGAAGTGAGAGGTCTTCGGAACATAGTATGTTGTATGAGGAAACGTCATCGCCATACGTCGTCCTTTTCACGCTGCCTTCTCATGAGTCTGTGGACTAAAATACTGGAGTTCATTTCCCACCTACAGGTGACCACAGCAGACAGTGCCTGGGAGTGGCTGTCGTCTGACCTGATGCCGTCCCTCCACCCGGAGCGCGGGTACAACGGGAAGACCCTTAGGTGGCTGGACAAACAGTTTCCGGATGGAACCAACGCGTTCCGGATCGGGCCGGTTCGCTTGGAGAGAACCACCGAGTATAAAGGTGACAAAGCATTCTATCGATCCTTCTTCTTCATTTTTCAGTGCCAAACTTTATTTTCCTGAAGGCTCAGGCAAGGCGGATAAACAGTCAAGGTTAAGGTTGCCGGCAATCTAGCAGTTACAGTTGTTGGTCTGTATGGAAGCCCTCTACGTCAGGAGAGAAGCACTGAGTATCAAGGACAAAACATCCTAAAGCTTCTCTGCTAGCTGCATAAGTTTGTGTCTATTCCAGTAGCCTGATCCCCTTAGTTCAGAGTCTTAGATTCTCAGTCTAGTTTCCCAATGTGTGGGTTATATTCTTCGGGGTTTAGTGTCCGTAGAAACTCCCAAGGGCTTAAATAATGCCTTGTAACCATTTTGGTTGTCTCCATTCTCTGCGTCACGCCTCGACATCACAAACAAGATGGCGAAATGAGAGTTATATTCGGGAAAAACAGTCAATTGCTGCTATACCATTCGGATAAGAAGGCTAAGACGGTGTGGCCAAATGTGCTTTGATCCAATTCAATATAATGTTAAATTGGTGAGTAGGCATTTGTACTACTCACTAAGACTTCACACTGATATTCCAGAGAACCCAATAGACATAGATCTCGAGCACAGTGGTCAAAAGCTCTATCCTGAGCTGCAGATGTTCCTACAAAGTAAAGCTGTTGGCCGACAGAACGGACGGAACTGTTCTCACAATGGGACTACAAGTATTGTCAATGAAGTCAGGTATGTAAATATATGATTGCAGTATTTAATACCGATAGAATCTCTACTTAAGGCCATGTTGATTTGATTATATGGTTGACATGCACGCGCGCATGAATTTTTAGGCCGTTTGAAAAAAGTTTTCAACCATACTGTAAATCGTACAAAACGGGCAAAATGAGCAAATATATTTTAAAAATTTCAAAAATTTAAATTTAAAAAAAATTAAAAACGATACCAATGTCGTAGAATGCCAAAATCGAACAAAAAAGACGAAAATGTAAAGAAATGAATTTGAAGAGTTAGAACTTAGATGTCATTTGTTCATGACCACGATGAAAGCAACGTTTTTTTTTTGTAAACCCGTTTTTATTCGCACGGTCGCATCAGTTTTTGGGCTCCTAGAGGTCGTCACCCATATAATCAAATCGACATGGCCATCTGGCCAATGTGGCCACTTTTTGGGAACCCTTAGATAGATCCCATTGACAAGCATTAAGGGATTATCTATGGTCGCCATATGTCTTCATGGACCGTATTACACATACATCGGACTACTGATTTGACTTTTTTTTTCAGAAACAGCACTTCGGCGTGCATCACCACAGTAGACCTACCCCAGGACGCTGACCAGGCTGCTGCAGTGATAGACTTCCTAAAACATACCCACTGGATCCTGCTGGTTTCAGACACACTCATCCTAAGGATCAACTTCTACCACCCTGACGTGAAGCTGTTCAGCACCGTGGACATCACCCTGCAGTACCTGCCAGGGGGCGCTGGGGAGATTCAGCCCACGATCCACACCTTCCGGCTGTTCCAGTACGAAACAGCACACGACTTCGTCCAGATGATTTTTCACATCGTCTTCGTTCTTGTCTACATCTACAACTTGTTAACCGAGATTTTGAACGTACAGAAAAGCTGCCGTCTTTACTTTGGCAGTTTCTGGAACATCCTGAACCTGTGCAACGTCGGCATGTCCACAGCCGTCATTGTGACATTCGCGCTTCGTTACATCCAGACAGCTGCTGTTTTGGATGACATACTGCAGGCAAAAGGTACGTGATGACCAACTATCTTAACCCTATCTAGACCAGGCTTTTTTGGGCTTGGTGGGACCGGAAGGGGGGGGGGCTCATTTGACCCCCCCTCAGAACTCAAGAACGGTATGTCCTATGACCACCAAATTTTTAGGGGATAGTGTACTAATGAAAATTTATCATATTTAGAATTCTTATGTCGTTATGACGTAATATGACGTCATTATTACGTCATAAATGTGATTTTATTGGCCAAAACCGTTTAGATAGGTTATTCCCTGAAAACTAAATGCTATACAACATAACTTTACCAAAAGTGTTTATGACAGAATATTAGGGTGTACTAAGTCTTATGTTGCCCATAGCAACACCGGTGACGTCATAAAATGACGTCATGCATATTGAAGCTATCCGCCATTTTGGATCATCAATCATGAATTTTCAAAAATAGTTTTTTTCAGGATAAAGCCTAAAATACATTGTAAACAGACTAAAGACATTCATATAAACCTTTTTTGTAAAAAGAAATGGAAGTTTTTATGAAATGTTAAGGAAAATAACCTGTATAAACCTGTTCTAATGATATGGTTCGCCATCTAGGATTCTGGCCAATGACGTCATCAAATTAGCATAAATTATGCATTTTTAATTATAAAATTAACATAACATTATCTTGGATGTTTTTATATATTAGAAACCATGTGTAACTTGACAGAAAACCCATAAAATTCTATTGTTGAAACAAAAATGACTAAATTTAGCAAAAAATGCCTGTCAGAAACCCGTTGCCGTGGCAACACAAAAAATTATTATTTTCTTCCAATGATACAGAATTGTTGCCAACAATATTCTAGCAAAAGTCACCAAGTTTGGTTGTTCTAGCGCGAGCCGTTCAGACGCTACGTGACATCAAATTTGCACTTTTAGCCCCCGCCCCCGGTCTAGATAGGGTTAACTGTGATCTATTTTGTAGCAAGCGTATTCACCAAAGCGTTATCCATTTCAGATGATGGACATGCATTGGACTAAATGAAACGTTAAGAAGGACATAAAACCGAAAAGAGTAGAAAGAAATTAAACGGTTAGCAGATCTTTTGTGGTTTCCCAACGGCCAAATAATTAGACTAAGAGATAGGCCATGAGATAATGGGATCCAAGAAGACAACTTGCAAAAACAGCGTTTCCATATCTGAAAACTATATATAATAATATGCTGTGTCAAGTGGTGGCTATTGGTCAACATTAGAGATTGTCATGGCATTTCGGAATTTGTCACAGGACTTCTCGGCATCCATGAGTTTGTGGACATCAGCGCCGCCAGCCAATGGGACGCGACCTTCAAGGCTGTCCTTTCCTTCTCCATCTTCATCAGTACCGTCAGCATCCTGCGGGTTCTCAACTTCTCCAGAGGCGTGGCGACAATCTACGCACTGCCTCGGGTACTTATTTCTAATTGCTTGTCACACCTAACCACTGCAAAAAGTCATTTAAATGCGAACGTTGTTTAACGCTATCCATTTCGGGTGGAAATATGCTAATCTCCAAGCAGATTCTGTGGGGCAAGGGGATTCTATATTGGCCGAGTGTA